AGCTCTCACGCATGTTTGAGAAAAAAAAATCACATCTTTTTTTATAACTTATTAACGTGTAAGCCAATCAACTAGGAAAATGAGCATGTGTGTATACACAGATTTATAGAAAAGATGACATGCCAATTGATGCAGGAAGTCCCTAAACTGCCTACTGGAAGGATCAGAGTGATTAGAGTCCATCGAAATTAAGGTATTAGCTAAGCATGCTGCTATTGAAAATGAAAGATAAGCTAGAACTATATGGTTTTCAGGATTCAGACCCAAGCCTTAGTAGGGAAGAGTGAGTGAGCATCTTCCATTGAGGGGTTCTGGCATTAGCATCTATGCCGCTTTCAGTTCTTCTATCACTTTCATTTTATCAGTCGCCAAAAAAGACCATTGACCTCTTCAGCCTGTGGCTCTGGCTTTTGCTTGGCGTTTGTCACCCTCAGACCTTCTCTCTCTGCCTACTTGGTTCCCCTCTTTATGTATTTGCGAATGCACATGACATGGGCATGCTATGTGAAGCATTATATAAGACAAGGATAAGTTTATCTTTCAGGTTCATAACATATTGGATCAAAGTTCTTCATGATCCATCCAGGAATTCATTCCTGACTTCTGTGAATGATTGAAAGTTTATGTCTCATGGCTTCCAAAATGTATGCAAGAGGTCAGAGTTTGAGTGCGTTGCATTTAAACTAATACATGTTAGAGCTTGAAATTAGATGGAAGTTTTGAATAAAAAATTGCATATACCAGTTTTTTTCAACTGCACTTTAATGCTGTTGTGCCTCAGTTTCATCTCATCTCTCCGCCTTTTCGTATTTTACTATGTGGTGTTATTAATTTCAAAACTATAGAAGTTGAGGTAAGCTTAAGATTACTCCATGTTTCTTTCAGGATATGGTTGGACTGATAAGTAAGATAAATCGCTCCTCCATTGGCCCTTTGCCTACTTGCTATTCTTCATCTATGTAAGTACACCTGAACTGTACATTTGGCAATGAAATTGGACATATATAAAAGTTTTCCATCCATCTTTCTTGTTTGGACATGAATTCAAGGTCATAGCAGTTTCTCTAATGTTTGGAAACATTATCCAGTGTATGGCTAGCTAATAATCCCATTTTACTGTTGAATGCAGGAAAGCACTTATCAAAAGCATGTTGAGGAAGAGTCCTGAACATCGGCCTACTGTAAGCTACAATGCAATAGATACCTCCCCTGCAGCTGCAATACTTGTTTGCCACGCACATTTATAAGATTCTTAGAGTATTTGTTACATTTTTGTTAACAGGCATCCGAGATTATAAAAAATCCATACCTGCAACCTTATGTAAATCAGTACCGTCCATTTGCTGATATATTACATCCTAGTCGATCACCAGAGAAACCTGTCACCAATTCACGGAGCAGTCAGAGAAGTATGTCTCGGAGTCAGTGTAGTAGCATTTCTGGAACTGGCAGTGATATGGATAGTATACAATCAAGTGAAATAAATGCGTCAGGACTAGCCTCAAGTTCCAACAACACCATTGAGACTGAGGGTGCTGAAACTACTGATCTTCAGAGCCATAAATACACTGCCTGTCCTGAACTCGAGAGACAAGATTCATCAAAATCCGTACAAGATAATCATCATCCCAGACATGAGAATAAGCAGCCAAAGATAATTAAGAAGATACTGACAACTCTAAGAGAGGAGAGCAAGTTTAGGGAAAGCAATTCTCCTGTGAGAGCTAGCCGTGTAAAGCTTAATTCACCTAGCAATAGAGAACGCTCATCTGACGACTCAAAGCAAAGTGATATTTCCTCTAGTTCAAGATCTAGTGAAGTTATGTCACATGAATCAGCAAATGCAAGCTGTGAACCTGTGAAACGAGGACACGCATCTCCTCCCTTGAAGCATTTGGTAAGGATAAATGGTTTTCTTGTGCTAAAAGCCTTAAATCCACTTCTCTGTGTTTGCTAATTCTTTTCTGGTTCCATCTTGCAGTCACCAATTATTGAGCATTCTCCAAAGGTTAAAATTAAAGTAGATGAGCTGCTACATCCACGCCCTGCCAAGCAGGTTGGAGAAGCTGTTGATGCAGCTGCAGGGAAGGTTAAGAACAGAACACCGCCCATTTTTATTAGATGCACCAGTATTCCTGCTCGGAGGCAAGGAGTAGCAAGTCCAAGCCGTCAACACACTGGGGTAAAGCGAGCTCACAATAAGGTCATGGCAGAGCATCCAAGGAGTCTTTGTCGGCCTACCCATAGTCCAAGCAATGCTCTTGTGGAACTTCCAAGTGTTCCAATTGTTCCTCCAAGTCATCTGGAAGATCTTCAGAGAAAAACAGGCAATTCACGAGCAAAATCTGCTCCACCTAGGGCTTTAGCAACCAAGGAAGACAGCAGTGTTTGCTCCAGTTCTACGACTGGTTATGCTGAAAATACCAACCAGTCTGAACCTGACTCACCAACCTATTTGGTCCCATCCTGCAAATGTTTGATACCTGACACTATCATACAAAAGCATGACATAAAAAGTAAAGCAAGTTCAGAGGTCAACACAACCAATTGTGAGAAGAAAATTACTAGTAACGGTGCTATTAGTCTAAGCGCAGCCATGGTGCAACCTTTTGATATTACTGAACAAGAGATTATTTGCAAGGATGGAATGCCCTCCAGTCAAGTGGGTCAGTGCAGTGACACAGTTACTGTACCAAGTGATGAAGACAAGTTCACAGTGGAGGAACTGCTTTCATCAGTAGCAGATCTTTCTTCCTTTGTCCCAACAACAGCGATGAACACTGAACCAGGCAGAGGATCCACTCCCACTCAGTCATCAGAGAAACCATCAGGTCCTCATTTAAACCCTCCTCCAGTTGAGGACATTATACATGTCATAAGCCACAGCACTTTCCGTGTCAATGGTGAGCAGGCAGTAAAAGAAACCAGATCAGAGAGCATTGATGTTGACAAGCGTCTTAACATGGTAAGAGAAGAGATAGGTGTAAGAAGTATCGAGCCAAATCTGATACCTTCTGGACCTATAGATTCTGCTACAGTGAATCCAAATTTAGCAGAAGCTAATACTACCTTTCAGAAACCAGCCAGTACAGATGCGATAAAATTGCCCACCATACCGGAAGGAAATTTTAGTACTCTGGAGACAAACAATGGGTTTAAGCAGCAAGCAGCTCCGGCTAAGGAAATACTAGATGTGACATCCTTCAGGCAGCGAGCTGAGGCTCTCGAAGGGCTCTTAGAGCTTTCTGCAGAGTTACTGGAACACAGTAGGCTGGAGGAGCTTGCGATTGTTCTAAAGCCATTTGGGAAGGCCAAGGTGTCCCCTCGAGAAACAGCAATATGGTTGGCTAAAAGTTTCAAAGGCATGATGAATGACGAAGCAAGCCGCAGTTCAACGTGAGTACACATAGCCTTTGCGCCACCCTTTTTGTTTTGGTTGATTTCTGTTTGTGCTCAGAATATGCAATGGTTGTCTTGTCCTTGGCTTCTTGGTATCGTGTGTCCCCTGTTTCCATTTCGATAGTTGTTCATTCTTTACAGCACATGTTGTAAATAGCCCAGATTTGTGAACAGAAAATAAGACATGCCAGAAATGGTGTTAAAATTTACACGAATGAAGTAATAGAAAGACTAATTTGATCAATTATTGTTTTGCCTGCGTTCTCTTCTGAAACTATCCGAATTCTACCAAGAAAATGTACAAAATTGTGTTTTTGCATTTGTTGTCAGTATAATTAATTTATCAACTAGGCCTGTTCGCTTGAACTTATCAGCCGGCTTATCAACTCAGTATTTTTCTCTCACAACAAAACAGCTTCAGCCGGCTTATCAGTCGGCTTTAATACCAGCCGAACAGGTCCACCCCACATATAGGCATTTTGATAACAGTTTGTGGCTATTTAGTAAGCTGGTTTTAGCATCAGACGCACACAACTCTTTTTTGTTCAGGCAGAGTTGCATTTTTTCTGCAGTAATTATATTATTCCTTCATTTCCGACTACTGAAACCACAGAACCTACACCATACAAGCTTACAAGTCTTCCCCTGTTATAATTGATGCTCACACGAGCTGTAGGCTGTAGCCTTACTACCTGGTTGCAGTTGGAGCTCCATTTCTTCCCAAGCAGCTTCGCAACTTTGCTATTTCAGCCGGCCCGTGTGGCCCGCTGGCTTTGAACCTCTTGCTGTTGAATGGCTGCCTGCCGCCGCTGCTACTGGTAGTCTCCTACCAAGCCCAAATGCTCTGTATTAGTGCTGAGTAATGCCATTAGTCATCATGGACACATTGGCCAGGAGACTCGTATTCACTTTACTCTGGGTTCTTTCATGGTCAAACCTCATTGCCTGGCGCAGAACACCTTTGGAAGGGGAAAGTTCCATTTCACTGAAAGTTTCCATTTTCTAGATTATCCTTTTTCAGTCGTTGGCAATGGCAGAGGAACAACAGTCAGAACAACAGTCAGAAAACGGCTCGACGAGTGCACAGGAGCCAATATCAGAGTGCACAGTGAGAACTGGAGCTTATCCATGCACAGTGAGAACTGGAGCTTAGCCGGCAATTGCACATTGTCGCATTACAGTGTCGTTTCCTAGTGCCAGTTTTCATGCTGTTGGGCGTGGTCGTTTCCGTTTCTTTTTCAGTTATAGTCTCATCTCAGATTCTCATCCCCGTAGCCCTGGGCCCTGCCTACCTGGCTTCTTGTGAAGGCCGCTCTCAAGTTGTATTTCTAGTGCAATGCGTGCCCTGACCAATACGTTCTCTAAAAAAAAAAGCCAGAGAGCAACGGCCAACTGCCCAAATTTTAGTATTCCTGACAGGCAATCGGCATCAACGGATGGCTTTGGGAGATCCGAAGAGCGTCTGGAACGTATCGTCCATCGTCCATCTTGTCTTCAGATGCCACCACAATTTCACGCAAATCATCAGCCTAGTAGAACGCCGGCCTCTATATCATCACTCGGTTCCCTGGTCTCATCTCATTATCACGACGTCTGCAGCTATGAACCATCAACAGGAGGGAGTTGTTGTCTCACTCGGTTCCCTGGTCTCATCTCATTATCACGGCGTCTACGAGACCAACGACGGTCCTCCTCCGCGCCCGTTCCGCATCCTTGTAAGAGCCTTCATCGGCGCGTGCATCTTCATCGGCGTCCTCGCGCTGCTCATCTGGTTCATCTACCGGCCCCGGACGATCCAGGTCGCCGTCGCCACCGCGACGCTCGCCCGCTTCGACCTCGTCAACACCACGTCGATCAACCCGGTGCTGTCCTACAACCTCACCGCGGTGCTCTCCGTCTCGAACCCCAACAGGCGCGTGTCCATCTACTACGACCAGCTCCAGGCGGCGGGGCTCTACCAGGAGGAGCGCTTCGGCCGCGCCGCGCTGCCGGTGTCGTTCCAGGGCACGAGGCACGCCGACGCGGTGCCGGCCCTGCTCGTGGGCAACACGTCCATGGAGTTCGGGGACTCCGGCGTTGCCGCGTTCAACGATTACAGGCGCGCTGGGGTGTTCCCCGTCGACCTTTGGGTGGACGGGGTCGTGCGGTACAAGTTCGGCGAGCTGATGACCACCACGGCGAGCACGCTGACGGTTAAGTGCCATCTGGCGCTGAAGCTCATGGTGGCGTCGGGTTGGGTCGAATGTACTGTGATCGACTCCTGATGATCCAGGTCTCCAGGAAGACATAATTTTTTACTATTAGACCCTTTTTGAATAAAATTTATATTTAGCCCTGAGAGATTTAAACTCATCTTTGGATCTTGAGGGTCGGCGTCATGAGTCCTGACGCCGAGGTAACACGTCTCGGCGCCACAGATCTTGACGCCGAGATGCCTGACCGTACACATAAAAAATCCTACGTGACCGGTACCTCGGCGCCTACGTGGCGCCAAGCTCGGCGCCACACATCTTACGCCGAGGTACCGGCTTCAAAGCGTGCGGCCAAGTGAAGAGAGAGAGAGGGGGCCCCGGACAAAGGCGATGTTCTCGGGCGGGAAACCAGGCCCGTGCGACGCACGCCACATGCGCGCACAGCCTACTAGGCGCGTGCGGCGCGCCCCATCAGCTAGAGCCTGGCGCCCGAGCCCATCAGCAGCCTGCAGCGCCGGTTCCCTTACTCCGATTCCCGGGCCGGTTTGCAAAAACCACCGGCTGCATCCCACCGTCTTGCGAAACCACCGACACGTGGAAAAAAACCAAAACCGGATGTCACGTCTCTCCTCGCTGAAATGACGTCCCCATTTTTTCTTTAATTTACCATATATATCATGCAAGATACACGCAAACCAAAAATGTTTCATCCGGTCACACAAAAATTAGAAATCACGGTTGTTTCGGTAATCTCGTCCCGCTCCTCCTTCCACCCCCGGCACCACCGGAACAAGCTGTGCTATTTTTCCTCCCAGCCGATTTACACGCGTGCATCTCTTTCTGTTTTTTCTATATAAAAAAAACTGTCTAGACAGCAATCGGTTGTATTCGCAAAAAAAAAAAGAGAGATAATAATCAGTTGTTTAAGCCCCTCTCAATGATCAGATTTTTGCTCATGCACTTACTATGTCTTACAGATATATTTACACTGCTCTATTACTATATTTACAATAATTTTCTTCAGTGTAATTTATTGAATAGAGTGATATAATTTGAGAATAATTGTAGATCTCAGATAAATATATGTTAAATTTTTTAGAAAAATTTATAAATTATTTCTATGAATGTATTGCATGTATCAGAAAAATACTAGTTAAATATGTCAAATTCTTCGCAAATTTCGGAAATTATCCAGAGGTCCTGCTTCCTGACTTCGCAGGAGCATGGCCTCCCATGCGGAGGTCCGCAGGCACGTGACCTCCCTAGGTGTGCAGGCACGATTAGCGGTGTGGCCGCGATCCGTGTGGCCATGTTTGTTGCTACCTGGGGGCTTGGCCACTGGATGCTCGCCACGTGTCGGTGGATGCAGTCGGTGGTTTTTGCAAATCGGCGCGGGAAACGGAGTAAGGGGAACCAGTGCTGCAGGCTGCTGATTGGCTCGGGTGCCGGGCTCTAGCTGATGGGGCGCGCCGCACGCGCCTGGTCTCCCGCACGAGAACGTCGCCTTTGTTCGGGGCCCTACCTCTCTCTCTCTTCACTTGGCCGCATGCTTTGAAGCCGGTACCTCGGCGTCCAAGATCTGTGACGCCGAGTCGGCGCCATGTATTCTGGCGCCGAGGTACCAGCCACGTAGGATTTTCTTCTGTGCATGGCTAGGCATGGCGCCGAGACGTGTTACCTCGACGTCAGGACTCATGGCGCCGACCCCCAGAGTCCAAGGATGAGTTTAAGTCTCTCAGGGGCAAAATGTAAATTTTATTAAAAAAAGGGTGAAATAGTAAAAAAATAGGCAAGGAAGAAGCCAAGAAGGGCGAGGTCGCCGATCGGGCCTATGGGTCGGCCCAAAGGACCAAACCCTCTCCTTTCGGAATTTTTATAGGCATTGGGCCGGCTAGGAGTACATGTAGGAACTGGGCTGGGACAACCGTTCCCAAGGCTGCTTTAGCCAGGTTTAGACTCAGAGGCCCAAACATGAAAGAATGTATGGGCCCAGATAGGAATTGGAACGACTGTTTAGAGGGTGACCGCTGCGTTTGATTATGCAGACTGTTCAGCACCCCTTGATTTGTCCGCTGCACACAGCACGCTTACACGCGTCAAGTTCATATTATCAGTTCACCACGTGCCAGATCTCTTCCCCTCGAGCAGAGCTACGACGACAACAATACTTGTGGTCCCCTTCTGGTCAGCAATTGGGATGCAGCAGAGTCCAGGTAACTCAACCAGGAGCCTACAGTGTATCTCCAATATCGGTGGCATCCCTGACGCCTACTCGCCCAGTACAGTACATTCATCGCCCTATGCTCTATGCTCCTGGCAAATTTGGAAGCGGAGAAACGCTGCTATCTTCCGAGATGAAGCTCTGCCCATAAGACAATTACTGATATCTTGCAAAGCTGAAGCTATGCAATGGAGTGCCGATGCCAAGGACAAAGCTGTAGTTCAGGCGTGGAGCATGTTGTTTGATCAAGCTATCAAGTTGCCCACGCAACCTACCAAACTTTCGGTCCGGAAGACGATCCATAGTCCACGGAGGAAGATGCTGAACGAGGAAGAAGAGAGAATCAGGCATCTCCTGCGCGTAAGGGTAGATAAGAGGTTAGGAGAGCAGACTAGAGAGGAAGCAGAGAACAAGAAGGAACCGGAACTCTTGCTGAGCGAGGACGAAGAGAACTGTGCGAACACAGAATTCTGCGATGTGCGGCGTGTATGTAACTGCGATCTGCGCGAATTATGGTTTGGCACCCTAGCTATGTTGCGGTCATGCGGGACAGGCTTTTCCTTAAAAAATCTCAAATCTACCACGGCGTACGGCGTACGGCGTACCGTGTACCAGTACCAGAGGGCGAATAGTCGTGTTCAGACTCCAGGCGAACTCCCCCACGAAATTTCGGCTAAAACAGCCCACAAAACGTAGTTCCTTAACCCGATTTTTCCACACACAAAACGTAAGAAACAGCTGCAAGTTTGCCGTGCAGGATAATCTAAAACAACGATCCGGTCCTACCATTCTACCAACGGAAAAACCAGACGCGTCTCGAACTCTGAATAACGAAACGCGGTTCCATTCCAAAGCCGAGTCTCTCATTTCTCCGCGTTCCTCATCTCGATCGCTGCATATAAATACTACTGCATATAGGTCGTGTATCCGTCACAAAGTACGTACTCGGTGGCAATCAATCACAATCTCAAGCAAACTCACCACGCACACACTTGTGTCTGCAACAGCGAACGAGCGAAATGGCGGCCTACGAGAAGCACCAGCCGGAGGCTCCGCTGAACGCGGCGTACTACGGCCAGCCGATCCCTCCGCCGCAGCCGGCGTACTACCCACCGCCGCCGCCGCCACCACCACGACCCGCCCCACGCCGTGGCGGCTGCGCGCGCTGCCTGCTCGGCTCCCTCGTGGCCCTTGTCGTCGCGCTCGGCGTGGCCGTCCTGGTGCTATGGCTCATCTTCCGCCCGGACAACCTCAAGGCCTACGCCGACTCCGCCACGCTGTCCCGCTTCGACCTCGGCAACGGCAACGGCAACGGCGGCGGTGACCTCCTCCAGTACAACCTCACCGTGGTCATCCGCGTGCGGAACCCCAACCGCTTCGGGATCCGCTACGACTACGCCGAGGCGCAGGCGTTCTACGACGGCGACCGCTTCGGGTTCGACCCGCTGCAGCCGTTCTACCTGGACAGCAAGAGCGACGCCAGGATCACGGCCACGTTCGGCGGCTCGACGGTGGTAGACGACGACGACGCGCGGCGCACGTACAGGAGGGAGAACGGGGAGGGGTTCTACTACGTCAAGGTGAAGGTGTACTCGGACCTTAGCTTCAGGGTTAGGGTCATCCGCCGGCATGATTTCAAGAGCAAGATCACCTGCGTGCTGCGGTTGCCCGTGCCCGCTGCCGGTGGCAACGTCAACACCACGGCGCTGACAACGCTGGGGACGAGGTGCGACGTCGACTTCTGATCCTTGCCGGTTGTCCAAAGGCCATCCTTTGACAGTTTGTATTATTTGGCCGGCCGGGGGGGATAACGTACGCTAGCTGTCGACAATATCTATGTTTGATTTTGAACTGTAGTCTGTTAATGTCGTTTGATTCTCACGACCATTCTTTTCTTCTTTTCTATGTATATGAATGAATAAACCTGAATTTTGCGTTCGTTGATTCCATATCTTGGTGTCTTTACAGATTATTTATTCGACCTTGTATATACTCCATCTCCATGCTATGCCAAATGCAGGAAAACACGTACACGTAGTCTTTCTTTCCAAAGGATGGTAACCGTAGATTTATTAGAAAAGAAAGGTAAATAACCTAGTTTATATACAGAAAAAAAGCAGATAAAAAAACTATACAACTAGGTGAGCCAAAACGCTTCCTGACCAGACTATCCAACTTGCTTTAGAAAGTAGCATTAGCACAACTAGACAAGACAAACAAGCTGAAAATAGAAAAACCTACTACGGATACACTACAACATCATCTACCCACTACGGGCTTGTTTGCCAGACCTCCAAGAGCAGCTTACGGGTTGAATCCGGGAGAAATTCTGACAAATAGTTTTTTACTGAGAAATGGTTCTTCGCTGATTCTATAAAATGATTCTCTCGGTGGTTCCTTTAGTTGTTTTTTTGCTTTGTAGTTGTTTCCTGAGGTCGCCCTAGTTTCGCCTGGCTCCTAGGTGCTTTAGTTGCCTTTTACACTAGTTTAGTTGCTGTTTTCAAGGGCTGAAACAGGGTGACTGATCTTGTATTCTTGTACTTTTTTTCTCTTTTTCGTCTAATATATATTGAACGGCAAAGCTCTTGCCGCACCTTTGAAAAAAATGAAGTGATTCTATGAAATGAACTAAGGGGTTTGGAGTTGAAAAAAGTAACTTCTCCTAATTTACTCCACGCACATAATTACTATTCCATCCGTTTCAAATTATAAGACGTTTTGGCTTTTCTAGATGCACTGCTTTTAGTATGCACCTAGGCATAATGTATATCTAAGTGCATAGAAAAAGTTATGAATCTAGAAAAGCCAAAACGTCTTATAATTTAGAATGGAGGGAGTATATGATAGGGTTTATTATAGAAAATCAATTTCAATCAAAGAATCACCTTCCACAAAAAATCTAGAGTAAGAGGAACTCTGCCAAATAGGCCATATAAACACCCTCGGAGAGCAACATTGAGCACTACTAATAACCCAACATGTTAGATATAACAAGCAAAAATAAGCATTCAACTTGGTGAGCTTGCCACACTCTTGACAAGATACTTGAAGATAGACCCACGTAAAGAGGATGTCGAGGCCTTGTACAATTTGATCTAGGTACCTCTAGATCTGAGGTCTTGTATGATTTTATCCAGGCACCTGATATACCCCTTGGTACATTAGCATCTTGGTGCAACTAGCAACATGCCTGATACAAGAAAACAAAAATCTAAAACGGCAAATCCTTCATGTAGTAAGGGGTTGTTTGGTTGGCACCCTGACTTTGGGGTGGGGGGTGGGGGGGCGCACACACACGGCAAATCGATCCAACCCAACTAACATCCGGATGGACGCCTGACCCAGGTGAGTTTCTCAGGTCAGGAAGTGTGAAAGGTCCTAATATGGCTTAAGGGGGGTGAATAGCCTATTTAAAAATCTACAAATCAACTAGAACAATTTGATTAGTATGACAAATAGCGTAATGCAAACTTACTCTAGCTCTACAAGGGTTGCAAGCCACCTATCCAACAATTCTAGTTGCAATGATTACTTAGGCACACAAACTTGCTATGTAACTACTCACTAAGAGTTCTCAATCTTGCTACTCTAAAGAGCTCAACTAGATGAATGTAAATAATAAAGTAAGCTCTCAATTCTAATTACACTAAAGAGCTTGTATCAACTAGTTTGCAAGAATGTAAATAAGTGAGTAGGGTGATTATACCTCTGTGTAAGGGATGAACCAATCATAAGATGAATATATAGCCAATCACCGGGAGAATGCCAAACACAAGAGACAATCAATTTCCTCCCGAGGTTCACGTGCTTGCCAACACGCTACGTCCCCGTTGTGTCGACCAACACTTGGTGGTTCGGCGGCTAAGAGGTGTTTCACAAACCTCGTCCACACGATAGGACACCGCAAGAACTGAACCACAAGTGAGGTAACTCAATGACACGAACAATTTACTAGAGTTACCTTTCGGCACTCCGCCGGAGAAGGTACAACTCCCCTTACAATCACCGGAGATGGCTACGAACAATCACCAACTCGTGCCAATCCTCCATCGCTGCTCCAACCATCTAGGTGGTGGCAACCACCAAGAGAAACAAGCGAAATCCGCAGCGCAACACGAATGCCAAGTGCCTCTAGATGCAATCACTCAAGCAATGCACTTGGATTCTCTCCCAATCTCACAATGATGATGGATCAATGATGGAGATGAGTGGGAGAGCTTTGGCTAAGCTCACAAGGTTGCTATGTCAATGGAAATGGCCAAGAGAGTGAGCTTGAGCCGGCCATGGGGCTTAAATAGAAACACCCTCGAAATAGAGCCGTTGACTCAATAATTGGGCTGACTGCGCATCGACCGGACGCTCCGGTCAGATGCACCAGACGCAGCACCGGACGCTCCGACCGTGAATACCGGACGCGTTCGGTCGGCCTACCGGACGTGTCCGGTCGCTCCCAGACCGCCACGTGTCCCGTTCAAACCCAAGTAACCGTTGTACCTCACTGGCTGACGACCGGACTCTCACACCGGACGCAGAAACACAAATGACCGGACGCTGAGCCGCCAGTTCGGTCGAGTCCAGTAAGCCACCAGGGCCGACCGGACGCGTCTGTTAGAAACTGACCGGACGCTGAGCCTCAGCGTCCGGTCGATTACAGTAAGCATCCATGCTCGACCGGACGCGTCCGGTCACTTCGAACCGGACGCTGCCAGCGTCCGATCAACTATACTGTCGAACACCATTTTTCTGAATTACACCGGACGTGTCCGGTGTGGCGACCGGACGCGTCCGGTCGCTGAATTCGTCGCCAAATATCGGACGTGTCCGGTCACCACACCGGACGCGTCCGGTCACTCTATAACCAGCGCGACTAACTCCTTTTCAACTCTATCTTCTTCACCCTTGCTCAAACGTGCCAACCACCAAGTGTATCACCTTGTGCACATGTGTTAGCATATTTTCATAAACATTTTCAAGGGTGTTAGCACTCCACTAGATCCTAAATGCATATGCAATGTCGTCGCTCTGGAACCTCTCTGTACTCGACCAGACTCTGTTGTCCTGCGTCCGGTCGATCTGCCGTCAACGTCCGGTCGCGTCTGTTGCCGAGCCTCTTGATCGGAGCGTCCGGTCACTTTCTTCCAGCGTCCGGTCCAGCGTCCGGTCACTTCTGTGAGCTTGTTTCTTCGCGATCTTGTGTACGGCTTGGTTCCTATCTTCATGCTTAGACTTTGCTTTTGGTATTGATCATCAAATCATCACGTCGCCTTCGTCCAAGTCACGTCTTGCATCCTATTGAACTACAAAACAATCACTTGCAAGTTCATTAGTCCAATTTGGTTGTGTTGGTCATTAAACACCAAAATCCAAAGTAAATGGGCCAAGGGTCCATTTTCCTTACAATTTCCCCCTTTTTGGTGATTGATGACAACACGACCAAAGCAAGCAAATAATAAAAAATTTGAAATTTGAAAACTACCTACTTGCTAGGATGCAATGCAAGGGGCAAGATTATGTGATGCTAAAAGATACTACTTGTAAAACTGAAAGTTACTACATAAAAACTTATCTTGCCCTTGCAAATGTCCCCATGTGGCATTATGGATTTACGCCTAGCTTCCTACATATTCTCCCCATGTCCGCAAAAAAACGCATTGGAATGTAAATGATTTATACCTTCGGGAGGGTGTGGGAATTGTTCCTTGTATGTGACTAGAGTATCCAATAAGACATGACTATCATGCACAGATCCGGGCCAACCAGTGACAACAAATATGAACCGCATATCAAAGTCACATAATGCCATTACATTTTGCGAAAGGATAACCATGTCGGCCAATGTATTTAGGTTGCTCATGCAATGGAACAATTACTGGTATATGTGTGACATCGATTGCACCAATGCAATCTTTGAAATGAGGCCAAAATCTAGCTTCTTGTAGCTTAGGAGGTAAAGAACCAAAATGTGGATCTCTAGGCCTCACAATGTCAAAAGCCAACTGCATGACACATTCAAGTGTCTCTGTAAATTTCCTGCTAATAGTTTCTAATGAGTGGGCGAACTTGTTCTTCACTTGCCTAAATGATTGAGGTGCACCACATGCCCACAAAAACATTGCTAAGGCTTCCTTGGTACAGATTCCTCTACTTGCTTTCAAGCCATAATCTTCTACCAAGGTGTCATGAAGGTGAAGGAAAACTGACGTTCTTATTCTAAACATGTTATAGCATTCGGTTGGATTTTGGAGTGTGATCTCAACCCATTGGATTCCAGTCATAGTTGGAATTGGCATAGGAATTTCAGCTTTCTTTCTACATGTACCGCTCATGCACTCCAAAGCAATGTATGCCACCATAAAGTATTCATCTGTTTCAATTTCACTAGAAGCGCTAGATGTACTCATAATTATCTGTCACACAAAAAGATCCACCAATTAGATATTTTGTCACATACAACATTAGGCAAATTATAAATAGTATTATGACACAAAGGAACTTGGCACATTAAATAACATTGTCTCACAAAGGAAGTTGGCAAATTAAACAACATTGTCTCACACAAGAATTTGGAAAAATAGCATAGTCTCACACAACAGATTGGAAAAATAGAATAGAGATGTGACTGCCACAGTCTAACACTAATTCTTATTCTTGTCTACCCAATTCCCATGCCCTTCGCAGCCATCCTAACCTCCCACCAGTACTAAACATGTCACGGTACTCCTTCATAAGTAGTTGTGTGGCATAG